CTTGAGGCCATTCACTCTGGTTCTATTGCTTTTACCTGGGAGAAGAGGCCAACCTCTGTCTCGCTACAATTTCCCATCATGTAGTTGTAGAGAGCGATGAGGTTCCCTGAGCCTCCTCTTCTTCAGACTGAATGACACCAGTTCCCTCAGCCACTCCCCTTAAGACTTGTGCTCCAGACCCATCACAGGTTTGTTGCCCTTCTCTGGACACACTCCAGGGCCTCAATGCCTTTTTTGTAATGAAAGGCCCTGAAGGCACCTCAAAATAAGGTAATGGTAAGTTAATCTAATCAGGGATTTACTGCTTCCACTGCACCACACCAAATTCTAATACAGAGTCTACCTGCAAATATATTAAAGCTGGGACGGCAGGGGAGGGGAGAAGCAGGTTGAATTAAAAGGCCTTTTTTTTTTTTTTTTTTTTTTTTTTTTTTTTAACAAAAAAGGGAATAAAAGCTGTGGTAAAATAGCCCAGAAACCCCACATTCAAAAGGAGTTATGATGTTTAACAAGATTATGGAGATCTATAGAGCTCTCTCTCTATAGGTGCTAAGAAAATAAATGTGAGAGCAGCAAGTCACCCCATCCAGCTCAGTCATCCCTTGCAGTCATCTCAAGGAGCAGCAGCTGTGAAATCCTCAGGTAAGTGTGTGACCCCAAATCTCATGACCCTGTAAAGGTGGCCAGAAAAGCAATACACGCCTCGGAAAGTGAGAAAGCAAGTAGAGTGAAAGGGCCAAGCTTCACGTCAATATTAAAATATGTAAGTGATAGATTGCCAGGATGGGATTGATCTTTGTTTCCCAAATATTCCATACTGAATTGCATTATAAGCACTGCCATCCAGAGTCCCAGCATTTATGCATGGCCACACTTCTGAATTGACTTAAAGCTTTCTGCAACAGGATTTTATCACTTCACAGAAAAGGGACAGCTGTGAAAGTCAGATCCAGACTGAGATCCAGTGTCCTCAAGTGGCTCCTTTTGGGAGAGTGAAGGATTGCCAGGTTGTGTCCTAGCCCCACCCCATTGTAGAACTAGGTGGAGGAGCATCCGTGCATCTGAGGTCATTCCTTGACTTCAGTTAGGCCATTTGGGGGTAGGAAAGCTCAAAGCAGTCTTATTTTGGATGAACACCAAAAAGCAGTCTGGGAACCTGGCCGAAATGAGCTGACTCTCCAAAGCGAGTAACACCAGTGGAAAATGTGGGTAAGAGCTTACCTCTGCTCTTTGTAGCTTTCCTGTAATAGGTTTTTCCTCTGTCGCATGGGAGCTCTGAGAGCAAGCCCATTTCCACTCCAAGGTGAGGGAATTAAAGTGCAGCACCATGCTCCTGCACAGCATTCAGGTCACACTGTGGTCTACACTTGGAGGTGCTGCCGGCACAGCGCATCAGTACAGCCTCCCACGTCTCTGCAGGATGAGCACGGAGCAGGGGGTGCCATCAGCAGCACCAGGGAGAAAGCCCTGCATGCTGGGCTTTGTTACCAGACCCCCTGTATGGGAACAGAACTGCAGAACAAGACAATACTTCTCATCTGAAGGAGAATATTTCTTCCTCCATTAATTATTTCCCTTGCTATTCCTGGCGGTGACCTTCGCTGAAAAGGAAAAAAAATCCCATTGCTTTTATATCTTTTATCCGACTTCCTATTCTAAAGCCTCTGGCTAGAATGAGTCACATTTATATCTGCTATCACATTACATTATGCAGTATCAATGCTGCTACCTGTCCTCTCTTCCTCACCACCCAGGCTTGTTGTCATTAGAACAGGCAACTTGCAGCTGCACTTAAAGATTGCCTGCCTAGGTGGCAGTGCCCCTAATACCCTTATCTCAACTGTGGAAGCAATAATGTGAGAGACAGCTGGCCTCACACCTCAGCTTGAAGGGAAATCACCCTGGTTAGGTGTAGGGAAGTGTTTTTCTGTGGCAGAGCAGATGCTGCCTCCTCTTTGGCTGCTCACAGTGACATCCCTGGTGTACACTACTAGCCCTTCAGCAGCCACTCACTCATTCTAAGATAGCCCACAGAGTTTTCCTTTAGCATCAACCAAACCTCCTCCCAGCAGTGTATGGGGGTGGTAAGAAGCTCCAGCAGAGAACTCTCTGAGAGACACCTCACATTTACAGCCCTCTGAGAGGACTTCCCATAGAAGAGAGTGAGCTGTAAATGTAGGGTGAGTTTAGGGACCTGGTTTAGTGGGCAATATTGGCAGTAGGTGGATGGTTGGACTAGATAACCTTAGAGGTCTTTTCCAACTTTAATAATTCTATGATTCTATGGTCCTAGGTCTCTCATTGCATTCATACTTTCTTTCTTCCTCTGCCATATAAATGGTGGCTGAGACTCACTGCTCACAAAGTATTATAGAATAACAGAATTACCACGGTTGGAAAAGACCACAAAGGTCATCTAGTCCAACCAGTATTTCCCAACCAAACCATGTTCCTTTGTACCACATTGACACATTCTTGAACACGTGCAGGGATGGTGACTCCATTACCTCCCTGGGCAGCCCATTCCAGCACTTCACCTTTCTTTTGGAGAAGAAAGTTTTCCTAATATCCAACCTGAACCTCCAGTGATGCAACTTGAGGCTGTTCCCTCTAGTCCTATCATCTTCCATATGAAAGGGGCACTTGTAAGCAAACTGGATGCCAGACATATGTCATCTTTTTTCAAATGTGAATTTGGACAGTGGCAATGGTCAAAGCCTCCTGTCAGAAATGGATGTTTCCTCCATCACTGAGAGACCTGTACCAAACTGATGGGAAAAAAGCTAGTTGCTGGCAGGGCAGGAAAATCCATCCACTTCCAATGCTTGTGGCATCCCAGGTGGGTCTGTGCAGAGCAAACAAACTTTTTTTAAATAAACAGCACCATGCACCATGGTGTGAAAGCAAGTAATTTAAGGCAAATTGCAAGAAGTGTGACAAAACAGCAGGAGGGAAGGCAAGATCTGAGGGTACTTTACAAAAGTATGCTTATTCTGCTGACATCCACAGAAGAGGTCATGGTCTGGAAAGAGCAAAATATTTTCAGCAGTCGTTGTTACTGCTAGTGCAGGTCTGCTTGTCTTTCTGTGACAGTGAGAACTAATCACTGTGCTTGAAGTTGTATTGTAGGATTTTAGCTTAAAAATCAAAACCAAAAGAAAATAGGAGAGCCACTTTGAATACATATATATTCAGGTCTCTAATTAAATAAACAAACTAATATGGCACATGAAAAAAAATAAAGAGTTTTTCTTTAAATTTAGTGCTGCTTTCATTGCACCTTTGGCAATAGGCACGGAATTTTTTCAGTAGCTTTTTTCTTATCTTGAATAATGGATGTGCACTACCTTCCCTTGCAAAACCATCTCTTGATATTTGTAAGCTTTGTTGATAGAGGAAAGGACGCACTCAGGACCTTCTGAGCAAGATCTTACTCACAGGTACAAAGCTTTATTCACTGATGAAAGAATCCTCTCAGAAATGCTAATATCAGCACTTAGACACAGTGGCCTAAATAAACATAATGGTTGGTACATTATTCTTTTTGGATCCTTTACAAAATTGAAGTTCTTCAGAATTAGTGTTGAAATAGCGTTTTGCTGGAAAAGAATGAACACACATTTCTAAATTAAAATCTACTGATGGTAATAGATGATGCACAAGTCCCAAGAGAGGGCTTCTCTGTCAACTCAACCAAAGTGAGAGGAGGAGGGGTAGTGAAGAGATGGAGCATTTTGATAACTTGGATCATATCTGACTATTTGCATTCCCTTGGGAGATTTACTGCTACTTCTGAGAGCAGCAGCCAAAAGTATGCTTTGATGTATCTTTTATCTAAGGCTATCTAAATACCATCTTGATAAATTACATTTGTGCAGTTGAAGCACTGAACCAGAGAGAGAGCTTTTGTTCCTCTTTCTATCATAGGCTCTTGGTGTGTCCTTGGAGAAGCAACAGAGATTCACATGCCACATGAGTCCCAGCTGACTGGAAGCTGGCAAATGTTGTCCCAGTTTTCAAGAAGGGTATGCAAGAAGATGCTGGTAATTACAAGCCTGTCAGTCTCTCTTCAGTGCCTGGTAAAATTATGCAGAAGATTATTCTGGAAGTTAGCGAAAAACACTTGAAAGGCAATGCAGCTGTTGATCATAACCAACTCGGGTTCCTGAAGAGAAAGTCCTGTTTAACAAACTTAATTTCCTTTTATGCCAAGGTGACCCACCTTGTTGATCAAGGGAAGCCAGCTGATGTAATCTTTTAGATTTCAACAATGATTTTAATACTTTTTTTCACCATATCCCTCTTGACAAAATGTCCAGCATCCAGCTAGACATAATGCAACAGGTGTACATTTGGCTCATGGGTCGGGCTCAAAGTGTTACAGCAAATGGGTGGCCAGTCATTAACAGGGTTCTACTGGGCTCCATTTTAGTCCGTTCTCTTCAGTGCTTTTATAAATGGTCTGGACACAGAACTCGAATCTATATTAAGTAGGCTTGCAGATGATACTAAATTAGAACAGAATCACGGAATCATACAATATCCTGAGTTGGAACAACCCCATAAGGATCATGGAGTCCAACTCTTGGCTCTACATAGCACTACCCAAAATGCAAACCATTTTTCTGAAAGCATCGTCCATATGCATCTTGAAGTCTGGAATGCACTGCTGTAGACTCCCCTGATTGCAGAGAGGTCTTGCAGAGAAATTTCAGCAAATTAAAGGGCTGGATAATCATCAACCATGTGAAGTTCAAGAAGAGTATTAAGAAGAGGTTCTTCACCAGTATGTGGTCAGGCAGTGGAACAGGCTCTCCACAGCAGTGGTCATGGCCCCAGTCCTTTGGAGTTCATTAACTATTTTGACAATGCTCTCAGACACAGAGTTTGATTTTGGATGGTCCTGTGTGGAGCCAGGGCTTGGACTCAAAGTCCTTTCCAGGTTGGAATATTCCAGAATTCACCTGGGCCCCTATCAGCCAAGTAGAGGAGAGATCACTTGCCTGCAGAGCAGCAGAGAAGGAAGCTCTGTGCATCATGAAATGGACAGGGCCCGCAACGCTGAGTCCTCCTGAAACCAGTGAAAACAAACTGATGCTAGTCAGATGTAAGTAGCCCTAAAATTAATAATATGATTCACTAGGAAACAAATTCCTCAGTTCTAAAAGTTACCAGCAACAATCATCTCTTCTGACCCTACTGCTTCCATAAATAAAGGACCATTTGAAAGGTCACTGGCTATAAGGTAAAGCAAGTGACTTTGCTTTGCATGCAGGGGAATATGACTTAAATTAGGCCAATTGAGTTTATGCTGAAGAGGATTACAGTTTCTCATGTGCTCCTTAGCATAGCCCAACCATGCAAGGTCACTTATCTGGCTAAAACTCCAGGACATTCAACCTTGCCCATGGGCATTTCCCCAGTGATGAGAAAATAGATGGAAACAGAGTTGCCAGAAGAAACTGTCGAGAGCAACAACAAGATTCCTGCAAATAAAAGAACTTCCTCAGATCAAAGAGGACAAGTATTTTTTGCTCCTCACCCTCCTCCACCCCCAGGTAATGGAGAGCTGCTGGATTCAGCTGGAGGAGAAGGGGGGATGAAGGAGTAAGAAGCAATATTTTTGGTAAGGGAATGCATACAGTAAATAACAGCTGCAAACACTCCCCAGGGTATTGAAGACATTATAAATTGGGGGTTTTCTTCCCCAAATCAGACCTCAATGGGAAGCAACTTTTATCCTGTATAAAGGAGCGCTCTACAATAAGCTTGTTAAGCTTGGAAAGTGCTCTGGGAGCCCCTGGGATGAAAGGCGCTCTAGGAATGAAAGCTGATATTTATGATTATTGTTTGAAAGGAACAGAGAGAAACACTGATGTAAAATATGAATGGCTGCTGGTGCCAAAAGATCCGTTGTTGACTTGGTGCCAAGGAAGATATTCCCAGCTCTCAAACCTGGATGACAAGGATTTAGAAGGTGCAAGAATTGGAAGTGACTCCTGTAAATAGCAGCAAACAGCAAATGTAGGGCAAATAGGTGTCTTGTGAGTTTCTCTTTTCTTCACCATAAAGTGTAGGCCATATGATCTCTCTCACCCCAACTCTGCCAGCCAAAACAAGCACCCATTAACTACAGTACTGCTGGTCTGCCCTCCTTTTAAAGGAAGAACTTTTAAAAGGAGAGGAGGGGAGAGGCATATCCTTCCTAAGTGATAAAATGTAATGGATTGGCCTGAGTAGATTCATATCTAATCTCACACAACCTTCTAAAAAGCAGAATCAACCCCAGGCTATTGTAAATTAAACTTCCCTATTTCAGAAAGCTATGAGGGAAGACAAGCAGGCTAACAGACTATGCTCCTGCAGACACTACCTGCATGCTCTCAGCTTGCATAAATCTCTTCTGTTGATTTTACACCGGGCATCTGGACCCCTGATGCGGCACTCTGCAGCTCCCAGAGAGGATGTTTTTCCATCCAGAATTGGTACTGAGAAATCTTCACCTCAGTCTGTCAATCTTCCACTTTTTCCCCAAGAAAAACTAGAAGAAAATCCTTAGAGAGAAAAAATTATTCAGTTCTTCAAAAACAAGCTCAAAAGTGACTCTAGTGCTGAAGAAACCTTTACAGCAAAAACCCACAGGATCTCAAGAAGTGGTGTTTTTCTTTTTTTTAATATAGCAAAAGAAGAACACAGCATGTGCCAGAGGCTGAAAGCTAATGCCATACACATTTAAATTAGATATTAGGTGCAATTATTTTTTTTTTAACAAGTGAGTGTGATTAACCATGGCAATGAATTATCATAAAGAGCTCCGATTCTCCAGCTCTCAGGCTCCAAATGAAGACAGGAAGCCTTTCAGAGGCGTTCTTTGAGCCGACAGAGGTAGCTGAGCTAGAAGAGGCAGATGGCACTAGGGACAGGGAGCCCATGGGTTAGCACTCTACCCAGGCTAGCAACTCAGTGCATCCCTTTGGCCTTCCAACCTCTCTGTGCACCAACTCCACACTGCCTAATGTGACTGTGCCACCTGCTAGCCAGGAAAGCGCTGTGAGTGCTCACTCTGTGTCACTGAAGCCTTGCCTCCCACTCCAGAGAAGCATGGTTTCCCCAAACCACTGAGACTGGTAGTACCAGCAGCCTTTGCTGGTGTATGCCAATGCATGATATAAGGGATATAAGGGAGCAAAGGAGCAAACCCCTAAGAAAGGAGCTCTGTGCTGTTGCTCACGGCTGGTCGTAGCCCACCAGGGACTGGTGCAGGACACACTTGCCAGCTCCTCTCCCTTCTCACTGCTCCCTTTTTAGGAACAGCCTAAAACCAATGGGTCTGTATTAGTAACAGAAAGTCCTTGGCCTTTTTGGTTTGTTTTTTTTTTTTCCTTTTCCCTTCAGCTATTTAGGCCAACTCTGGATAATCATGCTTTCTAACTTAGACTCAGTCAGTGCCATGGCAACCATTTCAACACGCAGCTCATAGCCGGCCTCTGAGAAGCACAGCTCCATTGAGAAGCACGCACACCTTGATGCTTCGTGAGAGGCATGAAGAGAGGAGTGCTGCCATCTGCTATACTGACACATTTTTATACCGCCTTACCTCTGGCAGCATGAATATCTGCTTTCAGCTCTGAATAGCTCATCAACTTCTGTCCCCATTCCCTCCTAGAAAAAGAGGTTCTATAAAAATTGGCACAGATTTATGAAGATGAAAGAGAAAGGTGTAGGAAGGGAAATGCACTTGGAAATTCCACTCTGTGGCCTTTGAATTCACCCTTGCAAGAATGCAGCTAAGCCTGTCCTGATACTGCTTTGAAGGAAATCCTGTTTTGTTCTGTTGTGTCACCATGGAAAAGGAGAAAACTTCTAGGGCTTGCTTTCAGTTTTTCTTGAATCACAGGAGAGAGATGGCAGCCACGGAGGAGCGTGGGCACTGCTCTCCCTCCTCTGCAGAATGCCTCCTGTTTGGTAACATAACAGCTTTGCCCCATGCAAAACCAGATCCACATCTCTCCATGTGAGCAAGCCTCAGACAGCACTGGGAAAGAACATATCTGGAGCATTCAGGTGTATTTTCCCAACCATTGTCCCTGAGTTTTGCTCGAAATCTAGTAGCTGGGTTTGCCTTTGACCACTTGTGATGGTAGCTCTCGACAGTTGGCTGGCACAGTGCAGTGCTGCACCCGTGTCTGTCGTGCTGGCTGTCAACACACATCTCTTCTCACTGAACACGCTCTTCTCCCCAGCACAGTCAGGGAGGAGGACCTGGCTGCCAGTGCCACAGCATAAAGAAAATCTTATTAATTTCTTTATGTAATTGTGGCTGCTCTGTAGAAGAACGTGATGTCACATCTTGAATGTTTTCTTTTACGTGTTTGTGTGTGTAGGTTTCGAACACATACGTACAGAGCACTTGTAGCGTCATGTTGACCCTGACCTGGGGTAATTACACCTTCCATTCCTTTCTTTCCATCTTTTTCTGCATTTGTACCATTGTGGTACCACTGTACCAGCAAGATCTGCCCCCATCCCTGCCACCTCTTTGTCACTAGTAAGAAAAAAATTCTGCTTCTGACCAAGGGAGAGGAAAAATCCAGGTGCACCCACAAACACATATATGTCAGTGCACCCAAAATAGCCAAAATGGATGAAACATTTGATTTCAGTTTGAACACACCACTCGCCGATGCTTGCCATAGGAGAGCACAAACACGATACTTCACACTGATATTTTTTCTAGGAACGAATTCAAGAGACCAGAGCCAGCAGTCCCTTAAGGCAGGTATATCAGTCTAAGCCAGAAGGTAAATACAGCATCGCAATTGCCTTTGCCCTGTTATTTTAATGCATGCGCGTGCAGGCACACATGGTGTTTCGTAAGCCCTGCATATGTACTTCTCAATCAAGTATCATTTATATACACCATCTTTCACTGAAATAAAACCTCTGAGATTGCTGAGGTTAGGAAACACGGTGTGTGCTCAGAGAGGCACATCATGGACAGCCCAGTAAATCTCTGGGACTTCTGACCGTGTACAGACTGCCCTGGGGAACCCGCAGCCTCAGCTGTCCTTTCTAATCTGCAACCTAAAGTCAAGATCCAGGCTGGCAGGAGGAAAATATAGGACACAAGCTTTTAGCCAACATGTTAAAGTTAATGCGTTTCTGTAGCTATAATAAGCACAGACAAAATTATGAAGCTCTGTAAGACTGGGAATACCACCTCTATGGCATGCATATAACATTGGCCTGACACTGCAAAGCCAAATTTCTGCAAATAGCCAAATGCCTTTTACCACCTTCCACTTTCCCAGAGCCTCCTCTTCTGGTGGTCCCTCTCTGCTCCATGCATAAGGAGGCTCTCTTACCACCCTCCTGTCAGAGAGGGAACAGAGGGATGATGGCTAGAAATGAAGCTGGAAGAGAGACTCTTTTATCATATCCCACTTCAGGTAACTTGCCTAACACAGACGGACCGGCAGCATCTAGAGCAGAAAATCAAAGTAGTGAACCAGGGCACAGGAGGAGGAGCTCAGCCCTCCGCAAGTCCAACCCTCAGCTCAGCACAGGACACAGCCTTGCACAGGGCTGCCAGCGCTCTCCCACCCTGTTGGAAAAGCACGCCTCAGGAGGGACTCAGGGACTGCTCCCAACAGGTTTGCATGTGGCTACATGGATGTGGAGGGCAAAGGGGGTTTATCTGTACCACCACAGCCACTCTCCTTAGGCAGAGGGCAGCTCCAGTTCCTGCTCGCTTTATTAGCACTAACAGCCATTATACCCACAGGCCACCTCGGACTTCAGCCAGCAAATGAACTGCCCTGCCTTTGTTTTGATGAAATCAGGACGCGTCCCTGAGCCAGCTGCACAAACCCTGTACTCCACTTTGTTCCAGTGCATAGTCCCACAGGCCAACCCCAGCCACCAGCTGCTCAGACCAGCACACCTGCTGCTGCAGAGGTGGAAGGGAGAAGTGCTGATCCAGACACTGCCACCTCCCAGCTGGGCGCTGTGCCTGCCTGAGGGCAGCTCGCTCTGCTGTGCTCCATCAGCACAGCCCACCTGCCTGAGGGTCAGTTCAACCCTCTAGAGGCTCCCAGAATAATCTGAGCTGTAGATGGGGGCAAATGGTGTGGTGCTTCTTGAGGCCCAGATCCACCCTTCCTCTTACCTTTCAGTAGCAGGAGAGCAGCAACGCTCACTTACTTTGTTTTCATTTGATCAGAATGGAAAGATGAGTGCCTGCAGAGCTACCTGCTGCATTCTGTCTGCGTTAACAGTGCACCCTGCTGTACCCTGTGGGACCTTGGAAGCAGCACCCCCATTTCACTCCAGCAGTCTGGGCAGCACGGCACCTTCTCTGGATGGTACCGAGCTGAGGAAAGCTGTGCAGAAACCCGCACTCTTTTCACGTGCTTTGGAATCCAGTATTAGGAGTGCGCTTGGTTTCCATCAGGATATGCAAGAGGTTAGGAAGAAACTTAACTTAGAGGAAGTTCCTTACATCTACTTGAGGATATGTCCTCTTATGTTCCAAGGGAGGGTGCTGGCATGGGAATGAGATTGGGGCTGTTCCCAAACAGGTCAAGGGAGATTGCAGACAAAAGCAAACACTGCAAAAATCTGTCCAAGTTCAAGCAGAGAAATTGATTGAATGGGTTTTTAACCCTTTTTCTTTTTCCAAGTAATGAGCACTTTCTTTTTTGCAAGCATGCTCCTGGAATGAGAAATCTCATAGTTTAGGGATACGTTCACATGGGGAACATTCACGTGACCTTTCAGATCGCATTCCTCCTATTTATAAGAGCGTTAGTCATCCACTTAGAGAGCAGAAGTCACACCGTGTTTGTTAAATGACTACATGGGCGCTATGAATAACCAGCAGAGGGTATTTAAAACGCAGTTACATCCAAGAGCACCCAGAGCGTCCATAGCCAGCACACATTTAGACAAAGCACAAGTAATACTGCACGTAACATACATTTGAAAGGCAGCTTGAAGGCAATTTCCTCAAAGGAAACATGGGCTAAAAATCCATTGGATAGATTATTTTCCAGAGATAGTTCACCTAGTTCATTAGGCATGTAGAATAGCTGGCAACACAGTGTGACAGCTGAAGACTTGAAGCTGAACAAAGTCCAGGCAGAACTGCACAAAGCAGCAGATGGAGCACCATTCCTCAGCGCTGCAGCCTGGACACGACATTACACGACACTGTGCAGAAAATGTCAAGAGTGTAGTGCTACAGGTTTGCAACTTTGTCACTGGCAAACCAGATGTTTAAGAACTCCCAGCAATGCCCAGCTTGCTGACTAATGCGTAGCCCAACTTAGCTTGAGGGAAAGAATAATACCAACCACATGTGCTGTTAGCCCCAACACATTTCCAAGCCCCTGTCAAAATAAGTAAACTTTCCAAGTCCCAAATCTTATCAGTGCCTGCAGCATACTTCCACAAACAGTACCAGCTCCTGGGTCAGAGGGTAAGGCACTGTTTCCAGGCAAGCAGGACTTCCCCGCTTATCTGAGTGCAGGTATCTGGCAGGAGAAAATCTGGAGGGGGAGGAAGAGTGAAGGACAAAGAGGTGGGATATTGAAGAATGTTGTGCCAGAATATGCAGAGTGGAAGGAGTTTGATTTCTCACCAGCCCCTCACTCTAGTGCTATTGTACCATGACACACTTCCACACAGCAGGGGATGGCCTTGCAGGGACACCAGATGCCTGGGTATACTACACTTTGGGCCAGACCTTCTTAGGGTGAGGATGGTCATTGTAAGCAAGAGGCACGAGGTGCGGCCACATGGCAGCGCCAGGCAGCTGCCCCTGCCAGCAGACCTTTGTGGCATCAGCCTGGCCAGAGAGGTAAACATCACGCCAGAGGCAGCGGCAGAAAGGTTCAGTGAGAACGTGGCAGCTCTGGGTGCAAATATCAATTCCTTATTGCAGCCTCCATGAGCGGCCCTGCCTTGCAATACTGAGAATGTTTTGAACGGCAGAGCCCAGGCAGTGAATCATCTTATAATCATGGCTGGTGTGTCCCAGCCTCCATGTATCATCAACTCCTCCTCTGGGTCAAGCAATCATTTGAGGGTGAATCATTGCTGCACAGGTTTCTCCCAGTGCAGGCAGGCGTGCAGTGAGCAGAGCTGCTTGCCATCTGCATCAGCCAGACCAACAGGGCTGCAGGAGAGACTGAAAAAGCTGAGGGAAAGAGAAGCAAATCCAGAGCAGGAAGAGAGCGCATTTGCTTCCTCTGCAGACAAGATGGAAGCTGAAATGACAGTGTGTGGACTTTTCTGTTGTCTCCCAGTTCACTACCCATGCCCCAGAGCTCGTGCTGCATGAAGGAGCCATGTTCCAACATCAGCCCAAGCCAGGCCTGGTCCCATGCTGCCTGCCCAGGCCTCAAGGCTAGAGGCAACTCTCATTCTTGTCTGGGCCAGGTAGGGGAAGGACTCGCCAGGCCTTACCCCCACCCTCTTTGTAATATCAAGTAATAACACTATTTAGCACTTCCATAATTACCTTGTGTTCTGGTATCACAGACACAGCTGAATTGGAAGTCATTAAGATCGTTTTAATGAGCTTCAGTGGATCCTTACAATCGGAGGCGTTTTTTAGCCAGCTCTCATTTTCGTGGTTATATCTGAATAAGCAGTATGCATTGAGGTGAGGTTCACAGATGAGACACTGGCATAAAAGCAGACTCCTACTTGCAAAAGCAAAGTGTCATTATGCATCATGTTTCACCAACTTCAAAATGCCAAGGAAGGCAAATCAGGTTATAACCGGCTCCACCTACGTCTTGTAGGAGCTGCGAGGTTATTCCCATGGACTGGCACTTGGGAAAGGTCAGCCATGACCTCACACAGGGCAGCCCTTCCTCAGCAACCACTGTTTCGGAGTCTTTCACCGGTCCGTGCAGGTAGCCCTCAAAAGCAGATGTCAACACATCTCAATTCCTCTCTTGGTAAAGAGAAGGGGGCAGGAGGCCAGCAGCCCCGGGAGCACCTTGCCCAGGAAACAGGAGAGCCATGCTGACCTAGTGAAGGTGCTGGCAGAGCCCTGGGCCGCTGGCCTCTGCTCCAATGGAGGGGCATGCAGACATGAGGCTGTCCTGGCCTGGGCGCTGTGTTCAGAGCCCTCTGGAGAGGAGGGACTGGCTGGTCCTGGGTGTGTTCTTAGCCACGTTTCTTTGTAGGGTCTTTAAATAAGAAGGAATTAAGCGTCCCTTTAGTAGTGGGTACATCAGTTCCCTGCTCAGAAACGGAAATAAAGGCACTTCTCCCGTTTTTGTCTGTCATTTGTGTTTGGGCTGTAAATTCCTAGGGAAAAAGAAACAAACAAACAAAAAAAACCAACAGGGGTTTCCAGGTGTACCTGTCCTATTAATGATAAAAATAATGTGCTGGTTTTGTCATTAGAGTAGGAGGAAATGTTAGCACACGGAACAAACACTTGTACTGCAATTTCTTCTGTTTAGAAAAAGCACAAAAAGATAACAGTGTGAGACTTTGACCAAGAGCAAAGATAAAATCAGGGCAGCTGACTCAGTGCAACAGAAAGGACTTAACAGAGCTGGCAACATTTCAGCCTAATCAGGAACTTGAAAGCAGGAATATGTTAAAAGCAGCACAACATATCCCCAGTACTGCCAGCATGAAGAAAGAGCAATTGTTGGGAAAAGGCATTCTTTTCAATAGCATGGAAGTCCTAGCCAAGCACAAGCACAAACCTGTGTTTATTTGTTGGTGTTCGGTTTACTGTCAATATTGCAAACACATAAAAACAAGTCAGAGACTCCAACCCTGCAATGCTGTCCCCAAATACAGAGAAAACATTAGCTACTCTCCTAATGTCCCTGTGATGTAACTATTCAATCCATTCCTCAGAAACAGGTAAAAACATGAGATTTGGACAAGACCCAAAGGAAGTTAGCCGCACTTTAGAAATGCAGCTGAGACACAGAGCTGCAGCTCTTCTTGAAGGCAAGCTAGCTGTTTTAAAAAACACTGGGAAGCAATGGTATTTCCTGAGTTCTGGCTGTACCTACAGTGTAAAGGAGCTTCCCGTGCCGTTTCCTTAATTAGCACAAATACGCCGACAACCTTCTCTGTGCTGAAATCAAGCCACAGACCAACCAAAAGTTTATCTACCTACGCATCCAAATCTACCACGTGCTGAACCAACATGTTTCAATGCCGTAATCAGTACTCTGATTATAACATGGCTTTGTCATGCATCCAGTTGCTGAAACAGATTTTGATGTCCCAATATGAAACCTATTTGTCCCGCAGTCAGCAAATATGAGAAGTGCCAATATATATATCCAATGTTTTGCAAGTGCTGAGGCTGTGTGCTGGCATTATTGGAGCACACTGACCACCACATGAATTTATAAATATGATCCAGCTGAATTAGAGAAATAACACCATTTGAAGGCCAGATTCTAATCTTGTTGAATCTGAAATAAACATGAAATAACTCATTTGGCATCCAGTAATTTACTCTGGTTTCACCATGCAGCGATCAAGGCCATAGTTACC